GGAAATATCCTTTGACTAATTTTTAAGCATCAGTCTGTCTATTAAAATTATCCGAAGTATCACCTTTAAGTCAATACTTTTTGGATATTTAACGGTTCCACCAGAATTTATAGTAGTATAGTTGTATTTTCCCGATTCAGCCAGCCTTTAGACTAAGGAAAGTGACAAAGAGTCAATCAGTACGGGGATTCGCTGAAAACAACTAAAAGGAATATTTCGGATTTATCCCAGATATTGCAAGCCAATTACTTTGCATTTGACATATCTAAAACTAGAATGTTCATAGCCTAGATTTTTGCAACAGTTTCATATAAAAGAAAAAGCGCCTCAAGAGAAAGTTAAAGCATTGTTAACACATGATCTGAAGCCGAGGCAAGCTGCACAAATATCTCGTCCTACATTGGGAGAGAACCAGGAACCTGTTCTGTGGATGAATCCAATTTGGTCCTATTCTGCCATGAGGTTTCGTGTTTTCTACTTATGCATTTGAGCATATGGCTTGGTGCATTTTAAAATCAGATTTGTGTCAATTAACAGGCTATAAATGCGAAAACCTTGTCAACTATACTATATAGCATGTTTATAGATTGTTTATTTTTTTATGTAAGTCTTGGATGTCTATGTACTGAATCTTGCTATAACAGGTAATTTAGTTTGACCCTACTAATGGAAGGATAAGAGATTATTTCCTACAGAAGTTGTACATCTAATTTGAACACAAATACCTTTTCTTGGGTTCATTAAAATATTTGGTAATCACTCTTTCATTTCATTCAATCCTACATTTTGCATGAAAATTGGGTGGAATGGATTCGTTAATTGGCTTAATGCTTGGTGAAATTCATCAAATAAATGTCTTCTTGCATTGAAACTGCCTGAAATAGCCAGACAGATGCACTACTTTCACAGAATCCTTGGAGTAGTATTACGGTAGGCGGAGGAATCCTTTACTCAAATTTAAAGTGACCGCGGAAAAGCAGTCCTCCTCCATTTTCGGTATGGCCAATTTGCAATTATCAAGGAGCCCTTCGAAACCTAGCATTTCGTGATACATAATTAAAGCTTAATTCTTAGATTCGACCAGGCTTTGCTGTTTATTTTCCATTTATTGTATGGATGCCTGGTTGATAATTAAAAGGAATGGAATTTTGCTTTTGTGGAAATTAATTGAAGGCAATAAAAATTGCTCTACCCCCATTTGTCCCAGAGGAGGATTCGAAACTTTTTCCCTCCTCTCCTAATGTTACTTTATCTGACGGTAAACTTGTATTGTCTTAAAATGAGTAGTTGAGTCTCTTTTACGTGTTTTAGCTGGCTTCTAACGATGTCGAAGCTCAATGCTAAAATTAATTTTTTCCAACCTGAAGACGAAAAAGCTGTGCATACCAGACTTGTACAATTTTTTTAACCACTCCATACTTTGTCTTAGTGAATTATGCATTTTTATCCAAAATATTTCAGAAATACCAAATCGCTTCGATTCTAGGTTGCTTTGGTAAATAGGTAACTTGGCTCGGTTTAACAGACAAGCACCTGCCACTTTATGCTCTCGTAGCCCGATCTAGTTGGGCATT